ACCGTGTGTCTCACCTTCACTGTATGGTATTCTGTCGAAACAGACATATCTGAGCCCTTCCAACCGGCGCCACGGTATCAGGGTTCTGTACGGTCCCGCTGTTACTACACAACCATGCATATTCTGCTTTCTTGACTAAGTATATGACGTTCTTTTCAAGAAGCTAATTCCGTCTCCAAAGACACTAAATATTCGCATTGTGATGTAAATTTTTTCCTTGTTGCAAAATGGCAAGCAGAGGTCACATTTCTTTGTCCAAAAGTATATATACGTCACCGGAAATACGTCACAATCTAGAGCTTTTGACTGTGACGTCATTCTTGTTAAGAACGACTTCCGGGTTCAAATGAATAACATTTCGGTACAACAATTGCTTTCAATCTTGCTCATAGTAAAAATATGTTAAAAACAATACTCTTTTCTATGTTCGATTCCCAGTGAGGTCAGAAATTAATTTTTCCGAATTTATTTCCAAGGGTCTTTAGCCCGGAATAACCTCGTTCCCAAGCACTATAACTTATCTATATTTCTACTCTTTTCTATGGAAAGATGAGTTATCGATATTATTGGCTTCATTTCACCGCTTTGTTAAGCAATTTGACCCGGAAATACTCCACGATCATTAATTTATGTTTCCATGGAAACGAGTAAAAAAGGAATGAAAGAAAGTTAATAATAAAATACAAAATAATTATAACACGGTAACTGTTGTCCATTCATGTTTTATTCTCAAAATATGATGGGTTTTATAACTGTTTTCTTTATATTAAAATCTCGATATAAAATTTGCAAGGGCTAAGTAATTTAACTGTGTTTAGTATCAAATCGAGACCGGACGGGATTCTGGGACACGGTTTCAAAAATGTTTTCCACTCGAGACGTGAAGTAAACTGCTGCAGAAAGATAACATTTTCAGGTAAGCATTTATAGCTTTAGTACCAGAAATATTGGTCACAATTTAGCAATATAAAACTACAGTGCTTGTGCTTTTATATGTAACTAGGTCCGAACCCTTTGAAGTTAAGTAGATACTCGAAACTTCAAAGAAGAAATACCTAGTTCTCGTCCAGAGTTCGTGAATTTCTCTCAAGTTTGGAGAGTGTTGTTTATGCTTTATTTTGAAGATATTTTGGAAACATTTTATAGCATTAAMTTAAGCAAGCACGTAATATTTATCTGCACGTTGGTTTTACATTGTTTTCTAATCCTGTCATGGCACCATTGACGGTGGTATTTTTTGAATAAGCTTTCTTTGACAATATATGCTCC